CAAAATCAACACAAAAAAATCAGTTGCTTTTCTATATATTAACAATGAACAATCTAAGAGAAATTAAGAAAAAATTCCACTTACAATAGCATAAAGAAGCATACTTAGGAATAAACTTAGGATGGAGGCAAAGACTTGTACACTGAAAACTACCTGCTACTGAAAGAATTAAAGACACCAATAAATGGAAAGAAACCCCATGTTCATGGACTAGAAGACTTCATATTGGTAATACTACCCAAAGTGATCTACAGATTTAGTGCAATCTCTATCAAAACCCCAAAAACAAATTTTGCAAACATGCATACAGATATTAGCCATTAACAAATGGCCAATGAGGACATGAAAAGATAGTCAACATCACTAGCCATCAGGGAAATGCAAATCAAAACCATAATGAGATACCACTTCATGTTCATTAGGATAACTACTATCAAAACAAAAACAAAACAAAACAACAGAAAATAACAAGTGTAGGTAAGGATTTGGAGAAACTGGAAAATCTGTGCACTGTTGGTGGAAAAATGAAATGGCATGACCTCTTATAGAAAACAGTATGGTGGTTCCTCAAAAAATAAAAAATAGAACTACCTTATATGTGATCCAGCAATTCCCACCTCTGGGTATATACCCAAAATAATTCAAAGGAGGGACTCAAACACATATTTGTACACCCATGTTCACAGCAGCAACATTCACTATGGCCAAAAGGTGGAAGGGACCCAATGGAAACATCATGTGGTAAATACATACACACAATGGAATATTAATCAGGAAAGAAATTCTGACACAGGCAACAACATGGATGAGCTCTGAGGACACTGTGCTCAGTGAAATAAGCGAGTCACAAATGATTCCACTTATATGAGGTAAAGAGCTTAGTGAAATTCATAGAGACAGAAAGCAGAATGGTGGTTTCCAAGGCTTGATGGGAGGGGGAATGAGGAACTCAGTGGGGAAGATGAAAGACAGATGGCAGGCATGGTTCACAACAATGGTTAAAATAGTTAAGTTTGTGTTATATATATTTTACTACCCCCCCAAAAGCTAATAATAGATGTGTAAAATTTTAACATACAAACATATGAATTCAGGGCTGGGGAAACATGGCTTAAAGTTAATGTGGGCAAGGGGTTTAAAATATCAGGGCATTTTCTCCACTGTAGTTTGGGCCATTATCTTGTATCTGATTTGAACAATAGCCTCCAGACCATCTAGCAGCTTCCACACTTAGTCTAATCTTCACACCACTGACAGATTTCAAATCACAGACCTTTCACTCCTCCTCTCAAGTCTGAGATGGCTCTGCCTACATCATCAAGTCCACACTTAACAGTGAGCATTTTAAGGTCTCATCAATATCACTTTGAAAGTAAATTTCCAGCTATTTTCCAATTTACTCTCCTGATTTCCGTCATATCTCCTCCATCTAGCCACACTATTTTCACTTCACCCTCTCCTAGTGGTGCTTATACTAATGTCCTAGCTAGATGCTCTCTCTTACCTACAGATATCCAACATATCCCTCAAGGAACAGCTTAGTTTCCCTGAAAATTTTCTGATCCCCCACAGAAGCAACTGTCTTTGTCTCTCATTCCCACAGCCCTTTTTTTTTTTTTTTTTTTTTTTTTTACCGGTACTTCCTACAGGACAGGACAGCTATTTGATTACTGCTCACTGGACTATGAGTTCTTGGGAAGAAAGACCACAGTTTATTCATTTTTGTGTCCCAAACACTGGGCCCCCATAATGCTTGCTGAATGATCTTAGTGGCCCAATTAAGGAACAAACCTCTCTATTGGACTCTGTGCAGGTAAGGACGGATATGGAATATGGTGTCCCATCTGGGGTGATACATTTCAAAGGTTCATAGTCAAGCTATTACACAATCAAATGAGTGAAGTGTCATGTGTATAGATAAATGATATGAGTACATAAAGTGGGCTGCTAAGCGAAACAAGAAAAACACTCAGGGAAAATACAAAGAATCTGCCATCCAAGTAGAAGCAGGTTCTTAATTCTACGCACTGGAGTAACATCCAACTCCAAAACTGAGTATATGTTTCAGGGAGACAAATTTTGCCTCAATTTTAAAAAAAAAAATCTTACAATCGGAGCTGTCCAATTACATAATGGGACTGAAACTAGTGGCCACATTATTGGTAGTGTTGACAAACACAGGGTGACGGAGGATCAACTGTCCTAAGATTTTCTGCATCAGCAAAGGTTTAACTAGAATGACCTAAGACCACTTATTAGTTTAACGCACATTAAATGCCTGACACCGTTCCAGACCCCAGTGATATAGCAGTAGACAGGCACAGTTCTGATCTCTTGGCTCTTTTATAAGCTCCAAAGGACAACTTAAAAACAAAACAAAACGATAGAAGGCAGTGCTTAGAAACAGACCAATGCATATATAAGAACCAGATGGATGATGAGTGAGCATTCAAAGTAGCACAGAAAGGATGGATTCTCCAATAAATGAAGCAGGGATAACTGATAAGTCGTAAAGAAAAAAACAAACTGGATCCCCACTCAGCATCAAGTACGGGTGGAATAAAGAAGGTGAGTGTGAAAAGCACACTCTAAAACTTACAAGACCTAAAACAGGAGAGTATCTTTATGACCTCAGAGTAGAAAAAGGTTTCTTAAATGTGACATAAAAAGCACGAACTATCAAAGGGAAAAAAAAGTGACAGATTCAACTACATTAAACTTGGCAAATTTCAGTTTGCTAAAAGATCCCATAATTAGAGTCAAAAGAAAAGCCAACTCTGGGACATTTCCAACATATATATATACAAAGAATTAGTATCCAAAATATACAAAGAACACCTAAAAATTTTTGTACTGACAAAAATAAAAACATAGAGAAATAAGCAAAAGCTGGGAACATTTCATAGAAGAGGAAACCCAAATGACCCATAAACACAAGAGAAGATGTTCAACTTCCTCAGGGAAATGCAAAATTAAAGCCACAGTAAATTACCATTTCATAACTGCCAGAATGGCAATAATTAAATGTATCAACTACCGGCAAGCAAGTAGAGCAAGGGGAACTGTTCTATATGGCCAGTGGGAGAGTAAATTGGTATGATCACTTGGAAAAACATCTTGGCATCATTTAGGCAAGGTAGAAATCATGCATCCTCTATGGTCCAGTAATTTAGCTTCAAGATATCTACTCTAAGTGTTACACACATGCACTGGAAGATATGTGCAAGAAAAGGCACAGCTGTATTGTTTTCAAGAACAAAATACTAGACACGGCACAATCAATAAACTATGGTATGATTCATCCTAGGGATTACAGATATGAAAATTAACAAACCACAGCTACAGATACTAATATGCATGATTCTCTAAAACAAAACTGCTGAGAAAAAAACTGCAAAATAATACGTATGTACGATAAAGTACCAAAACACACCAAAAGGAACAAAATATCATTTAAAGATATACATGTATTTGGCAAAACTATAAAGAAAAGCAAGGAATTTTGGATAGTGGTTAACCCTGGGGGGAGGGAGGAGTATGTAATGTGAATACTAATAAAGAGAAACCTCACTAAATGTAGTTGGGAGATTTAGCAGGGATAGTTCTCAGGCCCTACCACTCTCATCAATTGCAAACCCAACAAGGAAGAGAAGGACCTTGCTCAGATACTACTTTAGTACCCCAGCAGAAAGAACAGCTTTCTTCCCCCCAGGAACAGGCCAGCCAATGAGAGACTGTCACAACACAGCCAGTGAAAAGTCATTATGCTTTGAACTCCCAGTTTACTCCAATGGACTTTTTGTTTATAAAGCCCTCCCCAACACTACCTACCACCCTTCCTCTATAAAACAGCATCCCTCTCCTCTGTTCAGCAGACTTGCCTATGGTTTTGCCTATGGTTTCATGGTAGCCTGCTTGTCCTGGATTGTAATTCTCTGCTATTCCTGAATAAACCCATTTTTGCTGGTGAGATAACTGGCAGTTTTACTTTTTAAGGTTAGCAGTTTAATCCGTGAGAGACATTCAAGGTGTCCAAAATACTAGTGTTTTATTATTCTTTAAGATGTATATGCATGATATATGTTTTCTGAAACAACATACAAGGTAATGTAAACTTGAAAATAAATCTGAAAAACAGCCTATAATTTGACAAACCTAACCCGAGTTTATGTTTTTGCATATTCCATTTATTGTTATTTCAACTTTTTGATAATGTATAGTTCAAAATATTGAAAGTCCCTATCATACAGATGGGTTTATCTTCCAAAGGTTCGTTTCTAAGTGGGTTATTTTTTCCACTAAGAACAAATGTGCCCCTAAAAATAATGCTGTATTCCCAGCTAGCCCCCCGCCCAAAGTTAAGGTAGTGTGCAAGACAGGTGAAATTACTCATCACCTGGTACCATCCTCTCACCCCTCATTATGTTCATTTTACAAGATGTAGAAACCAGGGTTCCGTGGGGTTCTGTAACCTGGTCAAGGTCACGCGGTTAGGAAGCGGGATCTGAATCCAGCTCTAGTCTACTCCCAAATCGTGGCCTCTCCTCATACTACCCTTTTACCAGGCAAAAACTTTTCGGAACTCCATTTTATCTCACCAAGTAAACTCTTCATAAAGCCAACGTCAGGCTAACAGCCAGAAGCGGGAGGACCAGCGGTTAACCCCCCAGACGGAGGTCCCAGAACAAGTATGCTGAGCCTAAGAGGTGGGCAGCGTGGCCGCCTCTCCAGCGGTGCCAAAGGGGCCACGCCACGGGGCCCGGTCCTCATTCCGTGTCATCACCACCCCCACGCCCGGTCCCGAGTCCCGGCCGCCGAGCACTCGCGCCGCCTCCCGGTTCGCGTCCGAGGGCTGAACGGGCGGGACTCGGGCCCCAGGGTCACGGGAGGGATAAGTCCCCGGGACTCCGGAAGACCCCGCCTCCCCCAGGCTCCCACTGCCCCCGCCACCAGCCGGCCGGGACCCCAGCTCCGGCCGGCCGCGCCCCCGCCCCGCCTACCCGCGCGCTGTGCGGGCAGTAACTCTTGCTGAAGATCATCACTCGGTTGCTCTCGATGAGGCCCAGGAGGCGGCGCCGCAGCTCCTCGCGGGCCTCGGAGGACGAGCGGCCGGTGCCGGGGGACGACAGGCGGGCCCGGCGCCCTGGCGGCGAAGACATGGGCACGCCGCGGACACTGCCCAGGCGGCGGTTGGGGACCGCGCCCATCTTCACCGGCCCCGGCGATGTCTGCGCCGGCGGCGGCGGTGGTGGCGGTGGCTGTGCCAGGGCGGCGGTATCGCTCCGGGCCTGGCCGGGGCAGTTCAGGGACCCAGAGGCGGGCGGCGGCGCCGGGAATTGGCCTGCGAAGGGGTAACTGCGAACACCAACCAGGCCGGCCGGGCCGCCGCTCGCGCCGCCCCGCCCCCGGCGCCGCCCCGCCCCGCCCCGCGCATGCGAACTAGGCCGTTCCTGGCCACCGGGAGACTTCATCCCTTCCCAAAGAGTTGATGTCTATCTGCAACCTTATTATCCGTTTTGTGTGCACATCCTCCGATCGTCCAGTCTCCGTGATGCGGCCCTGGGTTGCCCCCTGTGGAATACTTTCCATGCCTCGTAATCTCCACTAGCCCCTTGAAAACATCTTAAAAGTAGACATACCTCGGTGAGGATAGATGTCTCAATCTTATGAAAAGAGTGAATAAATAAAGTCATCTTTAGGAAAGATGGTTATTTACTTTTTTTACTTTCTTTCTATTTTAATTCCAGTTAGTCAACATATAGTGTTATATTAGTTTCAGGTGTACAATATACAACACTTCCATATATCCTCGGGTACTCAGAAAACCTGTTTTACCCATCTCCTCACCCACCTCCCCTCTGGTAGCCATCAGTTTGTTCTCTGTAGTTAGGAGTCTGTTTCTTCGTTTGTCTCTTTTATTTTTCCTTGTTCATTTGTTTTGTTTCTTTAATTCCACATACAAGTGAAATCATATATCTGTCTTTCTCAGGTTTATTTCTCTTAGCATTATACTCTCTAGTTCCATCCATGTTGCTGCAAATGGCAAGATTTCATACTTTTTATGGCTGAATAATAATCCATTGTATAATATATATATTATTTTACTATATATTATATATGTTATTACATACATATACATATATAACATATATTATATACACATCTATATATACCACATCTTCTTTAACCATTCATCAATTGATGGACACTTGGACAGCTTCCATATCTTACCTATTGTAAATAATGCTGCTATAAACATAGGGGTGTGTGTATCTCTTTGAATTAATGTTTTCATATTCTTTGGGCAAATACCCAGTAGTGTGATTGCTAGATCATAAGGTGGTTCTATTTTTTAACTTTTTGAGGAAACTCCATACCGGCTCCCATTCCCACCCACAGTGCACGAGGGTTATTTTTTCTCCCTATCCTCACCAACACCTGTTGTTTCCTCTGTTGTTGATTTTAGCCATTCTGACAGATGTGAGGTGACATCTCATTGTGGTTTTGATCTGTATTTCCCTGATGATAAGTGATGATGAGCATCTTTTCATGTGTCTGTTGGCCAAGATGGTTATTTTTTTGAAGTTTATGTCCCACAACTAAATAAAAATACATTTCCTATTGCAACACAGGTCACATGGCTCCATCTCACGACCCTGAGATCATGACCTCAGCTGAAATCAAGAGTTGGATGCTAAACTAACTGAGCCACCCAGGCACCCCACATCATAGATTTAAGGTGAGTTTCCTTCTTAATTTGGTACCCCACAGTGCCTACTACACGGAATTCTAGAGGCACCTCCATACCAGAATAGGAAGCCTGTATTTATCATTTGGGTGGGTGGAGGATCTCAGCGCTGAACTTGGTCACCATGGCCTGCAGCCCCTTGTGCTGCAATGAATGAATGAAACCCCAATAGACAGAAAGGCTCAACTGCAAGCCCAGAAGCCTGGCCTGGTCCCTTTCAGGTGTCATCTTCTGACTCTGTCTCTGGTTCACTGTGCTTCAGCAACACTGGCTTTCTCCCTGTGCCTTGGATATGTCAAACCCATTCCTGCCTTAGGGTCTTTGCATTTTCTGCTTCCTCAACCTAGGATGTTCTCCTCTCCCCTCTCAGCCAATCTAGCTCCCTCTTGTCAACAGAGTCTTGGCTTAAATGGTACCTTCATACAGAATATTTTGCTGTCCATTGAAAGTGAAGTAGCCCTCTGTCTCCATCACACTGTACACATTCTAGTTCTTTCATGACACATTTATTGCTATTTGTGATTATCTTCTATAGTTACAACCAGTAAACCATACTTGTTTGTTGCCTGTGCCCCCTCGCCTGTCAGCACCACCAGAATGTAAGCTCCAATGAGGGAAGGGCCTCAGCACTCTAGCTCATGGCTCTATCCCGAGTCCGTCACCGTACTTTGCTTGTAGTAGGCACACATGAATGACTGAGAGAATCAAGCATGTCACAAATTGCTAGTGCATATGTTACCATAATTTGCATCCCCACTTGTTCCCATGTGACAGGCTAGGCCTCAAATCCTTTTCCTTCCTACCCTATTCATCCAGAGAACCCCAAACCAGGGAGGTGGGGCATGGACCATGCCATTCTGGAACTGCTACTCCTCCTGCCCAGGAGCTGTGTAGCTATTTCACGCCTTTACTCTGCAAACATCTACTGAACATTTAGGGCTGCGTTCTGTGTTAGGAAATAAGGAAATGGATGGCAGTGTTTGTCTTCATATTAGCACTTTTCAGGGAGAGATGTCAAAAAGAAGGGCACAAATGGGGATGTCGTTGTAAAGAGAGGAATATACTTAAACTGAATTTGGTGAACTGAAGAGTAGTTTGCCCAGACAATGAGTTGGAAAAGGATCCAGACAGGGGGAGGCAGCCCAACTGACCCACAGAAGCAGGGCACAGCCCAGGCAATTTGGGGAAATGTTGGAAGATCCACAAATGGGCAGAGCTGAGGTGAAAATGAATGCTGATGAAGTAAGCAGGGACCAGATGGCTAAGACCCTGTTGCCTTACTGTTTAAAGACTCTCCAGGAAGAAAAGGAAAACAAAGATAATGATTTCAAGCGGGAAACAGCTGGCTGCCCTGTCAGCATGAGCAAAGATTATAAAGTATGGAGTGTGAAAATTAATAAAGGGAAGCCTCACTAGAGTGGAGTCAGGAGGCCAGTAGGGGGAGTTCTCATGCCCTACCATTGGTAGTCAGTTGCAGACCCAACAGGAAGAGAGGAACCATGTAAGTCCAAACTAGTTTAGCCACCACTTCACTATCCCAGCAGAAGGAAGAAAGATTACTCTCCTGCCCCAGCAAGAGCCCAGCCAATAAAAGGCTGTCACAGCTGAGGCAATGAAAAGCCACTAGCTTCAGCCCTCTCCTTTTGTTCTAGGGACTTGCCAATGGTTTTGCCTGTAGCTTGCTTATCCCAAATTGCAATTCTCTGCTATTCCCAAATAAGACCATTTTTGCTGGTAACATACTGGCAGTTTTATTTTTAAGGTTAACAAGAGAAAATGAGGAAGAAAACACCAAGAGGGATGTCCCTTTCTTTTTCCTACTTAATGTAAATTATTTGTGCCTTCTCTCTTTACGTCTTAATCAATTTTGCCACAATGTTGTCTATTAGACCTCTCTTTTTCAAAGACAGTTTTAAATTTTATAAATTAAATTCACTTTTTGTATCTTAATTCATCAATTTCTACCTTTACCTTTGTTTTATAGGAGTTCATTTTATCATTTTTCCTATTCCTTAACTTGTACATTTAATTCATTTATTTCTCCCTTGTTTCCTTTTTTTAAAAAGTATTAACTTAGCTAAAATAATACATGCTTTCCCCCCAAAAAAACTCAAGCAACACATAAAAGTAGAAAGAATAAAATAAAAATATAGGATAATAATCATACCAAAGTATAGTAAAAAAAATTGTGATTTATCATGACCATCATTCCAGATACCTCTCTAAACACTTAGATAGAAGTATAAAAAGAGATATAATTTTTTAATGTATGGTCATGCTAATTTTAAAGTAAAATATAAACAAGAATTTAAGAAAAAAGCCAAAGTGAGACTGTAGGAATTATTTTTTCAGAGATGGTATTACTTTCTCAAAGATCTCTTTAAAGAAGAATGATCATGAACGATGAGATGGCGGTCATTAATTTTTAACAAGTTCCTACTTTCAACTGTATGTTGTTACTTGCTGGTAAGAAAAATGAAGAAATGAGAGCGCTTACATTCTCTGCTATTTCTCTGCCTTCTTGCCCATGAGTTTTATGAATGATATTATTTTTATGTTGTCAGGCTTTATGACATTTATATTCTGTGTGGTAGCTCTACTTCTCACAACTCAATCTTTTTAATTTAAGTGGATTTGATGTCAAGTACTGATCTTCTTGCTTTGTCTTCTGTATTCCTGAATTTTAGAATTTTAATCACTTCTTCATTGTTAGGTTTGAATTATCCCAAGTAATTCTTTTTTTTTCCAAAAAGGATCATGGTTATTGTCTTCCCTGAATTTTTACATGCTTGAGAATGTCTGTCTGTTCCCTACGTCCATGAACAATTCATCTAGCTCTAAAAATCTTGGATCATACTTTCCTCCCCTCTAAACTTTGTAGATTTTTGCTTCCTATTTTCTGGAATGGAGTATGGATGTAGAAAATTCTGAGAACAGCAGTTTCTTTCTTGTAAAAGGTATTAATTCCTATTGCTGCAGAACAAATTACCCCCAAAACTGAGCAACTGAAAACAACATATACTTACTACCTCACAGTTTCTGTAGGTCAGAAAACTGGGAAGAGGTTAGCTGGATGATTCTGGCTCAGGGTATCTGTGAGATTGCAATTCAGCTATTGGTTGCGGCTGAAGGATTTGCTTCCCTACTCATGTGGTTGTTGACAGGACTCAGTCCCTCACCACAAGGGCCTCTCTATAGGTTTCTTGAGTGTCTAATGGCAGATGACTTTCCTTAGAATAAGTGATTGAAAAGACAGCGAAAAAGGGAGCACATGCACCCGAGCTGGAAGCCAACTTTTTATAACCTAATCTCAGAAGTGACATCCTATCATGTCTGCCATATTCTAAATCCAGCCCATACTCAAGGGGAAAGGAATCTAGCACCACCTCTTGAAGAAGAGAACTATATCGGTGAATTTGTGTGCATATCTTGAAGACTACCTGTTTTTTTCTGTATAGGAGATTATCTTTTTTTTTAAGATGAGGCTTTATTATAGTGTCATCTTTTCTTTTTTTATTTATTTTTTTATTATGTTCAGTTAGCCACCATATAGTACATCATTAGTTTTTGATGTAGTGTTCAATGATTCATTAGTTGCATAGAACACCCAGTGCTCATCACGACACATGCCCTCCTTAATACCCATCACCCGGCTACTCCAAGCCCCCACCCCCTCCCCTCTGAACCCCTCAGTTTGTTTCCCGGAGTCCATAGTCTTTCATG